TCAACGTGATGAGTGACATTATATGGAATTTTAGAAAGGTCAAAGGAAAAATGCATAATCGAATGAGAGAAAAGACAACAAATGGATTGGTATTACTGGTTATTATTTATATGATAAGCAACAGAAGATGAATGTATAAACGAAAAAGATAGTTGGAAAACTAAAGGATTGAAAAGTAAGTTTCTGATGATGACAAGAAAGAATAAGTCAGGGAAGCAACATAAGAACATTAGAAGATATGTTCTTATTGAGATGTGCAGTGAAAATTCGAGGACAAATTTTCTTATAAGAAGGGGAGAGTTGTAACATCCCAAACTATGGGTTAGTGATTAAATGGTGAAGTTTCAGAAATTTGGTGATTAAAGTAGAAGAATGGATTAGTTCAATGATTTATCTGGAAATAAATCCTAAAAGTTGTTAGTAATTATCAAATGAAGTAGAGGGCAAAATGGTCATTTGACTAATGAATGAATCAAAAATAGATATGATAAGGATATATATGTTAGAGGGGATAAGGATGAAGAGATATTCTCTTCATCATCTTCTTCTTCTTCTTCATGTACGAGAGAGAGAAGAGCCAAGCTTGCAAAGGTAAGATTCCTTGTTAGCTGATTATTTGTTAATTTTAAGAGTGGGTTTTGATCATTAGGTAATACTTAAGCTTATGGAAAGCTTAAGTTGTTCTAAAATCAAAAGATAAAGAAGTTATGAAAGATTAAAGAAAATGAGTTTTTAAAGGAAATTTTGGAAAAGAGTTAGTAAGTGAATTTTGAGAAGGAATTTGACTTGTCATCAATCTAATTAAGGAATATGGAGTGTTAGAATTAGATTTAAAACATGTTAAAAATCTGGTATGATTCTTGAAGTTAATAAAGATGAGAGAATATTAAGGTTTAAGATGAAATAAATGAGTATATATTGGTTTAAGTATGTGTACTAGAGTTAAGAAGGAAAAAAGGGATGAAACATGAATGATTTAATCCAAAATAAATGAATTTTTGGGTTCGAAAAGAGGTTCTGGACAGAGTGCATCGATGCACATTCATAGTGCATCGATGCATCAAGGTTAAAACCCCAGAAATCGTTTGAAGGTGTATCGATGCACAGGAAGTGCATCGATGCACTCTTTTAAAATAAATACATCGAATGCAATTCGTGCATCGATGCATAAGTAGTGCATCGATGCATCCCAGTAATAATACAACATCGAATGCATTTTATGCACCGATGCATCAGTAGTGCATCGATGCATACCTTCATTAAAAGATGAAATTGCCTTTTCTCTTAGTCTAAAGAGTGAACCATTAGAGTATATTAGTTATAATACTAATATAGATCTATGTATGATGATGTAGATATAGAACGTGATCCCGTTCCGGATCAATTGAAGGATTATAATCGAATCAAAGCAAAGCTAAGGTGAGTGCAATTTAAATTGTGTTTATGTTATTAAATGAACATTGGCTTGCGATGAGTCAATGATAGAGTTACTATGGTAAGAAGTAACTTCTAAAATGTTATGTGATTACTATGTGTGCATTAGTACATAGAAATGGATGGATGATATGTTACATAAGTTACATGCTTACGTGAAAATGCAACATATGATATATGTTACTCGACATGACATGCATGGTTATATGAACATATGAGAACTGATATGAGTCATATGAAACGATCTAAGTGAATACATGTGATATGATATGTGATATGAGAACATGACATTAGCTACATGATCACAAGAGAAATGACATGAGTACATGAACATATAAAATCTAAGAATAATGCCCATAGTATACGATATGAGAACTATAGGTGTAATTGGCATGCCAAGAGTCGAGGGTATACTAGTCTTTCGGGACGTAGTCCTTCGGGATGTAGGAGTCCTACGGGACATAGATAATAGTCCTTCGAGACGAATACTGAACTAAGGTTCGGTGCCCCATGAGGGAATTGATACGAGCTGTGGTGACAGCATTAGTGCACAACCTCAATGCACTCACATACCTCTATTCTCAATAATATACATGGGCAATTGAAATACAAACTTTAAAGTGAAAGTGGTACAAGAAGGTAAGTTTCGTATGTGCATGATATGATTAGATATGTTATCGTGTAATAGATATATGCATATTGAAATGTCATGATCAAATATTGAGAATGCATATTCATAAGATGAAATAGGTATTGATTGGAAGAATGTATGATATTATATGATGATATATGTGCATGAGTATATTTATTACATAAAAATGCATATGACAAATATGTTAATGATAATATTTGTGTATGATGTTTTGTTATATGAAATGTTCTATTGTTTTTATTATATGTTTATATGCCTCACTAAGTCAACGACTTAGCGTGTAAGTGATTTACACGTAGGTATGGAGAAGAGTAAAGAGTGATGTGGAGTAAGACAGGTCAGTTCTCCTTACTCAATGTCAGATCAGAAAAGAGGTGATTAATATGTACTTTAATATATAAAGTTATACTTGGCATGTATTCAAAAAGATATATTGTATAAGCTCTGAATAGTTTTGTAATCGTTTTGAATAAGTTAAATGTTATAAAAGTTTTTAAATTACTCACTATTTTATACGAATAAAAGTTTGAAAAGTCAATGTGACACCTCGGACTTGTATTCGGGTCGGATATGAGTTAGGGGTGTTACACCAATGTAGTATAATCGAGTATTATTTGTGTATTTTACCCTTTGAAAAATCATTAATTTTTAAAAAAATTCCCGACGGTACTTTTCTCAGCTTCTCATGTATATAATTTTCCCTGGTGAGGAGACAATTGATGGGAATTTGGTGAAAAGGAGATGAGGGAGGCGACGCATATCTCATCTTCCTTTCTTACCTCTTCTCATCTATGCATCTGCATGTTCTTAAACACATCCTCTTTAACCTGCATTTAGTGCTCTTACTACGTATTCCACCATACACTGCAAACAGGTTTCATCATTGCTTCTAATTTCAAGCTATTTCCCTTAACATGTCAATCACTTCTTGTTTAAAGGAACAACATGCAGAGGGTTATTGTTTAATGACATTAATAGTCTTATCATGGCATTTGCATTGGATAAATGGTTATTTTATAACAATATATAAGTATAATAATCATTTTATAACTTTTAAAATTTTAATAATAAAAATGTTATTTTAATGATGATTTATATTTTCCCTCAAAATATAACTTAAAAAGCTTACCGATGTGAGTCTTAACCAACAACACAAAGGATGAGCCATAAATCATGGAAGACCTATGTGCTTATTTGCAATTCAATTTGGACAGCTAAAGGCAGGTTTCTGAAGAAAAACAGAAGTTTATTAAAAAAAAAGTTGGGCTTCAATAAGGCCATTGAGGGTTCACGGAAAACCTAAACTCCACTTAAATACCTCTTTTTGCCAAGATGACCGCATATATTTATTATTATTTTATTTTTAATTACTTGCATCTAATTTAATGATCAGTTAATTTCCAGATATGGTAAGGAAGATAATCCTTTCAACTAGGTTTGCTCCATTCACAATATTATTTTTAATCTGTGATATTGTTTAAAAAATCAGATGTTTCATCCTATTAGACCAATTAATTATTGATATATTTACGATTGTCTTTTGACTCTTGTTCTATTACTTTATTTCATTCATGACTGATTCTAATCATACATTTGGATCCTTAATGTTCATTTCTGATTGTCTTTCTCAAATGTGGAGAAAACTAGACAGTTGCATGCAGCTGCTCCAAATGGATTGGAATTGCTTCATAACTCAACTGTACGTGGGAGTAGGTTTGGTTTAGCATTTCATCGCTTCCTTTCCATTGCAGCAAACCCAATTCTTCCTTCTGCATCTCTTTGAGTTATCCGATGAGACTACACTTTGCACACTATTACAACCTGCACCCTACAAAAATATACTGCAAATCTATAACTAATGAAATTTCATGTCAATCTTCCCTATTTTTCAAGTTTTCTCATACTTTTGTTTAGTTTAGAGTTTTTCTTTTTCAAATTAAAAAAAAAATAAATAAAGACTTTGTTGAGCCTTTCTATAATTTTACGTGTAAGAAAAGAAGAAGAAGAAAACTTTAAGTTTTATTTTATGAAAACACTGTTTGTATTTGTATGGAAATTAAAGATTAAACCATGAAGAGTGTGTTTGGATTTGAGGTGTAGATTTATTTTTATCAAGGTTTTTAAAATGATAAAAATAAATTGATTTAATAGTGTTTAAGCCCCTAAAACTTTTAAAATATTAAGACATAATAATAAATTTATCATTCATATTCTTTTAATAGTAAGAACTTTAAAAATATAAATATATATCATACACATGAATATTATGTTTCAGTATCTTTGACTCAGTACAAACGGAGTAGCTCATGCCTTGGTAAAATACTCTTTGGATTTTGATTCGAATATATATTCTGAGTTTGATTTTCCCTATTCTATTTCAAGCATTGTTCTTCATATGGCGATTTTTGATTAATTAATATAATATTCCATTTTTCAAAGAACAAAATATTCAATCAATTGAACTAATCGATTGTTTGTTAGGTTTGGTAAAGGCAATGAAACCAAAGGAAAAGAAAGAGCAACAAATGAAATAAACATTGGAATTGAAAGATAAAAGTAGGATTAAGTTTTGAGCAGTTGAAGCACTTTTATGACATATAAGGCTAATATTCAGCAGCATAAAAGCCTTCATCTTCATAAGAGTTCTTCGTAGTAGCCACGTTGGCTCTTCATGAAACGTCGAAAACATTAAATCTGCATATCAAAATCCCTCCTCATAATCACTACTAACATAAGCTGCGAAACCCAAACTTTCAGACAGTCTTCTAAAGACAAACATATCATGAAAATAATAAATAAATTACCCTAAATAAACCCAAGAACAAGGAAAAACCCTAGCAGTAGTTTTCACTTGTTTGATAAGGGGCGACACCCATGTTGTTTGCAGCAAAGAACCCGTCTTTCATCATGCCCACTAAAAAAAACATTTAAAATTATTTGAAGTAAATAATAATAAAAGAAATGTTGAAGAGAGTAATGGAATCTTGAGATCTTACATTCTTGGCTGCAGCACTGAAGGCCTCTCTATGACTAATATCAGGATTCCCAGCTTTGATGCGTTGGATTTCGTCCCTGCACAGATGATTTGATTTGATACATGTAAAGATCACCCATTGTTTCCAGTTCTAATCACTTTGATTAAACCAAAATAATCAAGATTAACTACGCATTACTTGATGAAGCAGTTGTAGGCGGATGGGACTCGCTGTCTCTTCTCCGGAGCTGGACATAATAAAAACAGACAAACAATGAGACATGTAACATTAAAATCACCTCGCTGACTTTTTTTGGTAACATTCTGTCTTTCATTCCCTCTCCCTCTCTCTCTCTCTTCATCATCACCTCATCATCATCTCTCACACAGTTACAGATCTATCTATCTTTTGCATGGATTCTTCTTTTACCATCTCTCTTTCTTAATCAATTTCAGGCAAAAAAATGGACAACAGTGATAGTTAGTAGTGTCTTGAATGCTAAGGTTTGATGAAAATGTTGGAGATAATGAACTTTGTAAAGATTTGTCTTGAAAGCATACTATAGAGCCCTAGGACTTTGCTGTGGAATAGATAAGAGATGGCATTAAATATCCTTTAAAAAAGGTGGGTGTTAAAGAAGAAATATTTGGAAATGTATGGACTCAGGGCATAGGGTTCTTAACCAAGAAGCTTTGACTTGTCAAAAAAAAAGAAGACCCAAATCGATTTGAGTGGCTAATTAAGTTTCTAATTTTCTAGCTACTGAAAAGTAGATGAAAAGCATAATCATTAAATGTTGAAGAATCTCACGTCTGTTGACTACTGGAGGTTTGCAGATATCTTCAACTCCTCCATGAACAGCAGGCATAATAGATTCATTAATCTGGTTTGGTTGATTGATCACCATATTCGGTGTTGCACTGCTTCGGATATCCTCCTGCCATTTACATATACATATGTAAAATAGTAAATCAAATGTAACCCTAATTTGTGGAGAAGTGAAGATATATGTATACCAAGAGACTCTGAGGAGTGAAGAAAGAATGGCCAAGGTGAAGCTGATTAGCCGTAGGAAGAAGCAAACCAAGCATGTTGACGGACAAAAGATTGGTGCAGTGGCCGCATCGAACCGTGACAGTCTTGAACAAGCTGGTGCAAGGAACACTCACCTGAGAAACATTACAAAAACAATTGTAAAACAACTAACTAAAACACCCAGGAAAAGGGTTTTGAGGAAGTAAGAAGAAACGAACAGAAAACGGTACAGCGAGAACAGTGTCACAAAAGTTGCAATGGACGTAACAGAGCTGATCGGAAGGAGAGAGGTGGTCCGGTGAAAAAGTAGCTGATGAAGACGACATCCTTTTGTTAATTTTCTTTTTCTGATGACGAAGATTTTGATTGATAAATGGATATATAGATTGACTGATCCTCTTGAATGTTGTTGAGTTTCAAAGAAGAGGATTGAGGAAAAGATAGTGAAAGAGGGATACTACTAATATACTAGGAGATGTAACAGAGCCAGAAAGTGTTTTTCAAATGCTTCTCATTTGTACATGGTTGTAGTTTCAACAGTCATTCGAACAGGTTATGGATGTAGATATTAAACAGGACCCGACCCGGTAGGCTAAATTTAAAAAAATGGAAATAATAAAGGGGTTTAGGTCAAAAGGGAAGAGAAAAATGAATGGTTGGCATTCCCAATGGATGTGTGCTTGTGTTAGAGAAGAAAGGGACGTGTGCATGCATGGTAGTGAATAGCTTTGGCTCTTTCGCCTGTTGTTTTCACAGTTAAGATTAAAGACACCTCGGTTCTCCACAATTCCATGGGTGCCTTCAGCCCGACCACACAATTTATCATCCCTCTTTTTGTCTAAATAAAGCTCTATTCCATTCAATTATAATACGAATCAATAAAATAGTACGAAAAATTTACTACAAATTAAGTTATACCGAACAAATGTTTGATCGTAAAATATAATAACGAGAAGGATGTAATCATATCATATGTAAGCCCAATCACTTCTTTTTACTAAATAATATTAACTATCAAATCGAAAGCGTATAATTTATGTAACATCCTGAAATTTTGGGACAGTGACTAAAATGATAATTTTTGAAATTTGGGGATTAATTTAGGAAAATTGAAAAGTTCAAGGATTTAAATAGGAATATTTAAGTATTGGATTAAAGAGTAAATATGAAAGGATTATAAGAGTAGTATGGTAATTTGGCTTAAAAGATATTATTATCTCCCTATTTAGGGAGATAACACGTGGGGGAAGAGTTATCTGGAAAACTCTATTCTTCTTATTGCTTTTCTTTTCTTCCCGTGGGCTTCAGCTTGAAAGGTGAGTTTCATTTTGGTGATTAATTCTTGGAATTCTAAGTGGGTTTTGGAGATTTAAACAATAAGATGAAGGAATTAAGAAGGAATTTGTAATATGAGTTTTAAGATGAAATTTTGATATGGTTTGGTTTTTGAAGTTTTATTGATGAATTTGACTTGTCATCAACCTAATTAAGAGAGATAAAGTGTTAGAATTGGATTTAGAACATGTTACAAAGTTGGTGAAATTCTTGAATTTCATATGGATGATAGGATTTTGAGGTTTAAGAGGTGGTAAATGAGTATTAATTAGTTTAAGAAGGTGTATGTAAGTTAGGGATATGAAAGGGGTTGAAATATAACACAAACAATTGAGCTAGAATGAAGTAATTTTCATGCTTAAATTTGATTTATGGGATAGTGTGTATCGGTACACCTTCAATAGGTACCGATACATCAAGAGTAAAAATCTGGGATGATAATCAGAGTGTATCGATACATTAGGGAGTGTATCGATACCCCATTGAACAGGAAAATATCGAATGTAATTTGTGCATCGATACATAGGTAGTGTATCGATACACACGTCAATGAATGTACAGATACACTATAGTGTGTACCGATACACTTCAATGAGAAAATGGAATAAATCTTTCTTTCATTTTAAGAAATGATAGATTAGAGTATATTAATTGGATTTTGATATGTATCAATACATTCTTGTATAGACATTGATCGGAAGCAAAGTTCAGATAGGTCGACAGAGTAAGATACGCAAGGAAGAATAAGAGTTTAAGAGTGTTCATTGAGACCAGGTGAGTACATGATAATAAGTATAAGTTATGTTATGGAATTAAGACTTGTGATAAGTCTAATCCCGATTTTAAGCATATAGGGATATAATGCTTAGCTGTGTTTGAGTTCATGAATACGCTTAGAGATAAGTGTATTTGTATATGTGATCTGTGTAAATACATGTTTGAGTGAATATGCTTTGTATGTATTACATGTATGTGAAGTATATGAATATAAATAGATAAGATATAAAATGAAAGAAAAAATATGAACTATATGTGTTAGGTGATACATGTGTCACATGATTTGTGTGAATACAGGTAGTGTAATAAATCATTTGAACTAATATGAATGATCTCTATATGATTAAATGAGAATATGAAACAAGTTATATGATAGGGAGATAAGGAATGGTAGGAACATGTAATTTAAGTTACGAGTTAAAGAAATTATATGATATATGTGAACATAAAATAACTAACTGTAAGTTATGTGATACCGTATAAGTGATTACATGTGATATATGAATGTGAAATCATATGAGAACGTAACATGAGTTACACAATAATAAGCTATGTGATGAAATGAGAATATATGAGAACAAAATATAAGCAATGTGACATGTGATATGATATATGCGATAAGAAGTTATGAGACTCAAAGTGAGTATTACATGACATATGTGATAAGAAGCCATGAGCTTATATGTGTATATGATATGAATATGTGAAAGTGTGATAACATAAATCATAATGCCCATGTCATGTGTTATGAGAGCTAAAGGTATAGTTGGCATGCCAAGAGTCGAGGGTTCTACATGGTCCTACGGGATATATGTGTTCTACGTGGTCTTACGGGATATATGTGTTCTACGTGGTCCTACGAGACATATGTGTTCTATGTGGTCCTTCGGAACATAGTGTCATATGGGACAAATTCTACGCGCCCCTAGTGGGATTTATATGAGCTGTGGTGACAGCATATGTGCACAACCTCTATGTACTCAAATACCTTAAGTTCTCAAAAGAGTCATGGGCTTTAAAGAGAATAAATAATTTGATATGATGATATTGTGTTCTTTTGTGAAATGGTATATGTATTGTATGATGTATATAAATAATAAGTTTATGACAATAATAACTGCATATGTATATTGGTCACATGAGATGATATGTGCTTATGTAGGATATAATAGTACTAAGGATTCATGTATGGTAGTGAATTAAAGTTTATGTTATATGTTTATATCAATATATATGTTCATATGACAACATGAATTAGTGATGATACATTATGTAAGAATAAACATATTAATGATAGTTGAAGTATGTACTCCAGTATGATGTTGTATTATATGATATGTTTATGCATTTGTTAGTTACTTTATGTATTTACATGTCTCACTAAGTCCATGACTTAGCGTGTAAGTGTCTTACACGTAGGTTCCAGAAAGCAAAAAGAGAATAGGAGCAAGACAGGTCAGTTTCTCCTTACCGACTGTCAGATCAGAAGAAAAATGAATAATATTTATTTTGTCATATAGAATCTAGTTGGCATGTAACTAAAAGATTAGATATTCGCTCTGATAAGTTTTGTAAATTCCTTGAGTTAAATCGTATAACTTATGCATTTTGATTTAATAAAAATTAGAAATGTCATTCTTTTGAAAAAGTAATTGTTTTGAAAAGTTAATATAACACCTCGGACTCGTATCCAGGTCGGGTACGGGTTGGGGGTGTTACATTTAATGGAATCAAAGCTATGGTTTAGCCGATTCTAGGCCTAAACCGAAGTCAAATGAGTTTTAAAAATGTGTACATGACAACTCAAAGTGAAAATTTCTGATCTGATAGTGTAATGAGTATACTGTCTTGCTAATAGAATAAGATTAATATGATATAGTTATGAGAATAGAATGGTTAAAATGAATTGAGAGGCGATAAACCTAATGGTGGTAGTAATTCACCTGCCCTGGCCAGGCAGGATGAAGAGTGGACACCTTAGGGGGCGCCTTTGTAAAAGTTAAGGATTATTTTCAGAAGATTGAAAATGCATTCGAATAGTGTTAGAGGATCTCCACTGTTCCGAAGTGGAGAAGTTAGATGAAATAGTTTAGTTACTATGCGATCGAGTTAAAGTATAGTGAACAGATGTTATCATAAGAATGATAAAAGATTGAGTGATGTGATTATTAGTTTAGAAAAGTTTGATAAAAAGTATTCCAGAAATAAGGTTATCAGAAATATGAAGATGAGTTTATGAGTTTGAAACAGGAGAATCGTAATGTGTATGGATAAGAGTGCAGTTTGATAAGTTAAGTAAACTAATGATGGAATAATTTCAATTGGTAAAGAATGAGGTTCTGTATAAGTGAACTTGATTATCAAAGTTATGAAAAGATGATAAAGATCAATAATCAGAGATGAGTATAAGTGATAGGAAAAGAGTATGTGAACATAAAAGAAAAGATATGATTTGTGTATAAGGAAATTTTGATTTTTGAATGAATAAAGGAATAAGGAAATGAAAGGATGAAGTTTAAAGGATCATATATGATAAAGGTTATGTTGAGGTATAAATTATAAGTTTGATTAAAAGTAAGAAATATGTCAGATAATATGAAAGATTGTTTGATTCTACATAATATATGTCTTAATCGTAAATGATAAAAGTTTAAGGTGTGTGAATTGGTTAAGTAAATGTAGTTGGAAATGATGATACGAATGTATTAGGGAAAAGGTAGTTGAAGAATTGAAGTGATGAAAGTTAAGTTATTAATGATGATACGAAAGATTAAATTGAGAAGGTAACATGAGAATATGAATAGGATATGTGTAGACAATATCTTTATTTATTAATGCAGTGAAAATTCGGGGATGAATTTTCTTAAAGAATGGGAGATTTGTAACATCCTGAAATTTTGGGTCAGTGACTAAAATGAGAATTTTTGAAATTTGGGGATCAATTTAGGAAAATTGAAAAGTTTAAGGATTTAAATAGGAATATTTAAGTATTGGATTAAAGAGTAAATATTAAAGGATTATAAGGGTCGTATGGTAATTTGGCTTAAAAGATATTATTATCTCCCTATTTAGAAAGATAACACGTGGGGGAAGAGTTATCTGGAAAACTCTATTATTCTTATTGCTTTTCTTTTCTTCCCGTGGGCTTCAGCTTGAAAGGTGAGTTTCATTTTGGTGATTAATTCTTGGAATCCTAAGTGGGTTTTGGTTCCTTGAGTTTTATATGAGCTTAAGGAAAGTTTATGTGGGATTTAAAAAATAAGATGAAGGTATTAAGAAGGAATTTGTAATATGAGTTTTAAGATGAAATTTTGATATGGTTTGGTTTTTGAAGTTTTATTGATGAATTTGACTTGTCATCAACCTAATTAAGAGAGATAGAGTGTTAGAATTGTTTTTAGAACATGTTACAAAGTTGGTGAAATTCTTGAATTTCATATTGATTATAGGATTTTAAGGTTTAAGAGGTGGTAAATGAGTATTAATTAGTTTAA